GTGACTTAGCAGCTTGAAGACGTTGTCCTACTGAGGTCTTAATCTGCTCCTCGGTGAAGGGTTTGCGGTCTTGTCGGGCGCCAAGAAAGCTAGGATCAACTCCCCGAGCTTTTGCAACCTCCCGGAATCTAGCTTTAGCTGACTCCTGTGCCACGAATGCTTCATGAAGTTCCTGAGCAGTTTCCTCTGGGACAAAGAGGTCCCCACCGCCCTCAGCCGACTGCTCGAGGTCCTCGTCGTCCTCTTCGATGCCTGTCAGGAATGCGCCTCGGACACCATTGGCCTTGGAGTCCTTGGGATCAAAACTCCGGCGGGGCTGCCACGCCGGACGCAAAGACTTCTCATGAAGCACGGCTGCCTTCTGAAGTCGCCCTGTATGATACTCGTTGTTAACCGATGCCAGAAGAGAAAGTTCTTCTGAATTCGTTAGCCCCAATGCACTCATGTAAGCCCAAGCCTTGGCCACCTCCGGAAGTTTGCAATCTATCTCAAGGAGTCTCGAGTACGCACGATCGAACATGGAGTTGAATTCTCTCACCGATTGGCTTGGACGTCTCTTGAGACGTTTGAAGAAAGTCGTCAAAGCATCGGCTATCTTTCCAACCTCGACCTCCAAGTAGCGCTCCTGGATCCATGCCCTGAAGACTTCCAAGCCTTCAGGCCCCGACAAAGCCTCGACCTGCAGTTCTTCACTCTCGACCCAAGCGCGGCCCTTCAAGTTTTGGTACAACAGCAAGGCCTGTTGGTGTTTGGGGGTACGTGTAACCCGGCACCATGCCGCCACTTGGCGGAGGTAAGAGCGAGCTCCCGTTCCGAGCTCCTCTCCTGTCCCCTCGGCGTCATACGAGGGAACGGCCATCTTTTCCCCGAACGACCCCTTGGAATCCGAAGGAACATCATCACGAGCACCCTCATAATCCCTGGTAGTAGCCCTTGTTGATCCCGTAGTCCCGGATCCAGCCTCGCCTGTAGTTCCGGACGAAGTCTGCCTGGCATACTTGAAGTCACCTTGCCCGTGATCCCGATCATTCTCTGAAGCATGCTCAGAACTGCGCTGTTGGCCATCTGATCCTGCCTCGTTGCTCCCTTCAGAGCCCTGTGGTTCAGGCTCACCAAAATGGTCTGAGCCTCTCTGATCTCTAAAACCCCATGACTTGTAAAAGCGCTCATGCGGATGCCAACCTCCAGTCGACCATGAACCCCACGATGGATTCCATGTAGACTGTCCCCATGAACTTCCCCATGAGCTATCACCCCAATGCTGGACAGAATTGTCCCATGACCATGAATCCGAAGCACGCCAAAAACGATCCCCATGATTCCACTCATGTCG